TCTTTCACCCTCCGAACGGCGTGACGTGATGTTTGGGAGCTCGTCGACCGTTCCCATTCGACGAAATCAATTCGAAAAATCGTAACTTCAAAAATATTTATCGCACAGACGAACGGAGTTGCCGGTAAATATTTGGAAATCAAACTTCGCCGGCGATTAATGTAATAGACGAGGGAAAAGGCAAACGGGAAGGGAACTTATTTTTACAAATTATACTGGCTGAAAGTTGTTGCTCAGCTGCTGCTTTCGTATGTTTTTCATCAAAGTTCTCCCGAAGCGTCGCGATAGCTTGAAAAAAAAATTCCAGTCGGAAAAAAGGAACGCGAGGCACGCGCGGTCGGCCCACTGGGGAAAGTAAATTCTCGAAATTACCCGTTACATAAAAACAAAATTTCCACTGGGTGGTCGTAAACTTTTCGCGCGGAATAAAAAAAAAAAGAAAAACGAGAGAGAAAGAGAGAAGGCGAGAGATAAATTCGTAAAAAGGCATGCTTTTTGCTTTATTACGCGATATATCTCGTAGGTAGGCGCAGCGCGGGGGTGGCTCGACTAGGAAACGTGAACTCGAAAGCCAGCTTTGCCACGCGCGAGAAAAACGAGACTTTTACCTTTTCGAAAAACAAACATGAACGCGAACGGCTACTCTGGTCCATCGAAACAGCCTCTCTCGCCCTCCTACTCTGTCCCTTTCTCGCAATTTTTTCCAGTCTCGCTTTTTTATCTCCATTGTGTTCTCGACTAGCGCGCGCCGAACGCGTAACTTCAAAGAGGAGTATAATTACGCGCGTGGAGTCGTTCCCCACTCGCCAATTGCCTGCTGCAACGCGTTAGAATCGCACTTTTCTCCGCATTGTTTATAAAAACAACCCGTGGACGGTCAATAAACGATTAGTTAAAAAAGACAAATCGACTTCTCGTTATTACAACAATAAAAACGGATAGAATACTTTTACAACGTTCGAGGAAGTCGAGAACAAAACAAACTCCCGATTGCCGCTAGTCCCACGTATGAACGCAGGTCGAGTTACCAACGAGCCACAACTTCCTTCCCGAGTCTCGTCTTCGAAAACTGCGACGACGGGTAAACGACACCCGGGTAAAAGCGAAAGGAAACGAGGGAGAGAGTTATTGGTCACGTTTGGGAAGCGCCGGAAGTTCTCCGGGGTAACCGAAGCGCCCGCACCGCGCGCCGTCTTTCTGCACACTCGCAGTAGAATAGGATTACGAAAAGCCCGCCCTTCGGCCAAGGGTTCTCTGGCTCTCCTTTCGAACGCAGGACAGCTCGTAGATATACGAACATAGGCAGGACGAGATAAGAGTGAGTCAAGGTATCCAGTTTGGCTCGTTACCGAATAATTGCCACCTGTTCGACGGGCACGCGACAAAAACGCGTACCGTCGCACTCTCCTTGGCAAAACTGATCGCCCGCTCCCTCGGTGCATCGTTTAGCGAGCCACTACGTCACGATGTTTTCAACGAGGCCGGGAACACACCGTGACAACGGTTGAAGCGTTGCACGAAACACGTTCAAGGGAACTAGCCGGAGTTCAACGAGAGAATCCTCCCGGGCACGCATGTACTAACACAACCAAAGTAACCGCAGAAAAACAACGGCAACACAACGACGGATGGATGCATACGTTGCCACTGCTCTGTATGCAATTACCCGTGAGTACTACGTACACTGCGAGCCTCGTTTCCACGCGTCGACCACGCGCTCCACGTTATCTGTCTCTCTCTTTGCGTGTCCCCTCCCGTCTTAGCCGCGATCGGAGTCAGAGACCGTGGAAAACGGAGGAGGCTCGAGCAAAAAGGCCTCGCGGGTCCATTAAGGGCACCGGTCGCGTCCTCGCAGACGCTTCATGGCCGGTTAAGGAGCATCGTGTGCCTAACGATGAGACGCAACCACCGGCGATGACAATAGCCGAGGAAAATGCCGAGATCGATCGAACAACAAATAACATTTTTTTATAAACGAACTGCATACATGAAGAAGCATAATTGAATCAAGCGAAATATCATGCAATAACAAAGAACATATTTTGCATTCTGTGCTCGAACCTACCGGTTAGGCTGGGATATATCGCGGAGACGAATGTCAAAGGTTAAGGGTTTCATCGTCAGTTAAGGAGAATCGCATTCTTATGCCCGTTACGGATGCGAAGTATTGGTACGAGGAAAAGAAGCACGACTACAGCCGGCGGGACGGCAACCGAGCAGCGGCAATGGGCGACGAGGACGACGAGACGAACTCACAATCGTTCGGAGAAACGATTTTTCGCGAAGTTGCGGAAATTAAGAAGCCGTGTTATAAAACGCAACGACCTACAATGCTACAAATGCCACGGAAGAACCGTCGTGTGTCTCTCGGCACGACTGCCCCGCCAACCCCCTGCTCCACGAGTCGGCACCGCCGCCACCTCCTTTTCCTCGGTATATCCCTCCTCCTTTCGGCTTTTTCCTCCCTCTGTCAGCCCCTTCTTAGGCCGATGGCCTCCCCTCCTGTCCCGGCTTTCGACGACCACCAGCACCCACTCTCTAACGATGCACTCCCACGATATGATACGAAACGATACGATACGAAGCGACGCGATGCTATCCGATGCGGGAACCGATACGCAGAAACGTGTTCGAACACACGCGAGTCTTGCTGCTGCTCGATTTTCCCTCTTCAGATTTTTGATTAGCTTTTGCTTTTATACGTTGGAAAAATGCCAATAATAAGTATCAGGTTCGACGTTGCAAAGGAACATCGTACGTTGAATGATTTGAAAGATCCTTTGGCTTTGCTACGTTCCTAAATATCTTCTCTCGATTAATTGGTTCGCAGTCCTCTTTCGTTAAACGCTCACGAGCTACGGCTTATCGTTGTCGATACGCCGGGAGGACTGATTACGGATTTTGCGGAATTCTCGGTTATGGTGGGGGTTGTTTTGCGGGCGGGTCGAAGATGCAGCGTGACGTGCGTCACGAGTGATAAGAAACGCGAGGAGAAAACGGAGCCTCTTCGCGCGATAAGCTGATTACGAGCGAACAATGTAGCAAGGGGATCTTCTCTAATTATTGCCGTTCGAAACGTACAACACATAGTTAACGATTCTCCATTAAATCCTGTCTAATGACCCGAAAATTGACTGGTGTACCGTTCCTCATTTCTAGGATCTCACAATTGTAGATTCGACCGAGGCAATTCCGTAACAAGTTCACGTAGCTCCGTTAGTCGTCGTGGTTCCCAAGCCTCGGTGTACAATAGAAAACGGGGCGGGAAACGGAAGATCGAAAAGTGTTCGAAACGCGCGACTCTGTGTATTTTCGAAAGGAATTTTACAAGTAGAGCTTATCATGGCTCCCCGCCGCTCAGAGAATATGTAACGGCATCGATAACCTCTAGCGTGGAACTTCGGCCGCCGTCCCGAACCGACACAGTTTTTCAGAAAAATTGTTTACGTCCTTGGAAATTTTTCGACCGTTAACGAAAGCAGGAAATTGCAATAAGAAGAATGCGGATAGATAAGCTGCACTACTTTCAATCGTTGATAAGAGGGTGAACGAAGCTGCAACGAAGACAGCTGGTGAACAATACAAATTCTCAATATGTAGTCTCTCGTGAAGAGGATCGCGAAATGAATTTTGGAAGTTTACACTCGAGTCATGCGAAAGCGATTCGGAAACGGTTGGGAAACACTGGCTTAGAAGAGAACAATCGAGAAGCTCACTGAACGACTCCCGAGTGGGACCTCTTCCGTTCTAGGCCAGGCCTCGATCTCTGCCAGGCCGCACGATGCACTCCAACCACATTTTGCGAATATCAACATTTCTGTTGCGTGCGTTTATCGAGTGTAGATTTTTAAACGCTTTTCGTATGCATTCCTCGATGAAACGTTCCGGTCGGCAGTCGGGAGAACACGCGTGGAAGCTACAAGTGGTTCCTCCGGCTTCCTGGCTCTCGCAGTGGGGACGAATTTTTTTTTTACAACCGGACTTTCAGATCTCCCTCAGGAAGCACGCATCGCGTTAAACGAATTAATACTAATAATCATCACTTATGCAAAGCGGAATGTTAAAACTCTGATTAGATAAAAATTCATGACGCACAAAAATTGAAATACTTTTTCATGCGTTAGTCACCGCGGTTACAACCGTTCCATCTAACTCCTGGTTACATCACGCGTCGTTATCACGTTACGAATTGCGAGTAGAAAACACTGGCCGCGTACAATCGATGAGATGCAAGGGAGAATGTTCCTCTTTTCCAAGGAGTAAGAACACCACCGATCGTGTCGTCGGACATTGCCGCTTCCGGTCGTTGGACGGTGACCAACTGTTCCCCGAGCACTACCAAATCATTGCCAAATTGATTTTTCCCCTCGGAGTCACGCACGCGATCGTCCCGTCTGTGCTCCTAGAGCTCTCGTTTCCAACGTTCGACGGGTACTCGCAGCGAGTCGCGAGGTGTATGCAAAGCGAGAAAAAATATTGTATCAGGCTGCGCTTGATCGAGCGATCGTGTAAGTGCATCGGTGCACACGGACACAGGCAGACGGGCCTTCAGGAAGATCCACTAAAGCGAGCGTTAGTCAAGTGCACTCGACGATTACTAGGCGACATACTCCACTGATCTTCATATGGCCGTGTTTCCTCCGAGTTCAAAGACTGCCGCGAAACGATCCCGAAAATTTCCGTCCGCCTCGCTGCATAGAGGACAGCTCCAAACAACCCGTTCTTACGTACCACCCACTCTTAATATCAGTGATTTCACTACATCATCGTAACTCGATTCGTAAATCATTGACACGTGAATCAAAAATTGATACGACGTTAATCCGATTTAACAGTTACATTAAATGCATCGAGTAATGAATGATTGACAGCTCGTTAGCTGAATTAGAATTCGTCTAATTGTCTATCTACTAATCGTGTCTGATTCAATTTGACAATTTATGAAATATAGGGATTCGCAAGCGTGAACTTGATTTCGGTAATTATTTATTTCTACTCACTTTTGATTCTCGCTGTAGGCATTCACGAAACTCCCTTCTTCGATTCGGCCCGGATTTCTAAAAAAGAAACGAGTATTTTTGGTCCACCTGTGTGTGCCTTTGCCATTCAATAGCTATCATCGCGTGGCTATCGAATATTTTCAGCGGCGCGCCGCGTGCGGAAATAACGGTCAATGCTAAAATTGAGTGATTCCGTATCGATCAATTAGAGGAAATTCCAAAGGGTATATGGAAGGAATATCTATCTAGAGCACCTCGTTTTGCCCGAGACCTAGTCTGTCTACTTTTATTCTGGCGAACCGGTGGTCTTTGAAAATAAAATAAAAATCGCCGCCACCTTCGAAACGGGAAATTTTACCGGGAAATAATTCTTTTTAGTCCCGTTGCCTTCGGACCCTCTTCTTAAGAGCCCGTTCCTTTTTGCCCGGGATTACAAATCTTGAGGGTCTATAGAAGTCCAAAAGGACGCGTTATTCTTTTTCGAGGGCCTCCATTTTTAATTCTAGAGTCGCCGATTCGAAGTTCATCGATGATATGAAATATGAAACATATCTAACGTCGATACAGAAAAAATGAATATCTTTTATTATTAAAAGAAGGATACGAGCTTCGGTAAAGAGAGAAGTGGAATCAATTGACGATAACGAAGCGAAGAAGCGGCTCGAATCGATTGGCCAAGGTACAATTACGAAAATATTGTTGAGCATCGCGAAGGAAACTGGGGCTTGATGGAAAATACAGCATATCTTTGTGTTTAGACGTGTACACGCGAGGCCTACGCCATTGAAAAGAGTGTTCTGGGTACACTCAGAGCGTGGCTGCTAGTAAATAATAATACGTCGTTGCTAATGGAAACCTACTTCGCGTTGGCTTCTCCGGACTAGGTTTCGCGAAAGGGAAAAGTGTGTCATTGCACAAAAGCCTTTCCCAAATCGTCTTACAGCTTAGTCACTATTATCATAATGATGTCAGATGCCGCGCGAAATTCGAGTTGTATTCACAACGAGTTACCATTTACAAATTTTGAACGAAACACTATTTTACCGCGTTCATGATTATCGGACGTTCCGCTGCCGACTAATATTTTACTAACGGACGCCGACAAAATATACAACGAAATATGGTATAGCACGGCGAGTAAAACAAAGTTTAAAAGATACAAGGATAACGGAATTGAAGAAGGTACTTCTGTACTGCTATGGGTCTGAGATTTGATAAAAATGATGGAGCTTACAACGGGAAAGTTTGCAGTAGGAAGCTGTTGGGAAGTTCGTCAAGAAAGTCGGAAAAATCTTGGTGTAATTACTGGTTCGTCGGCGCGAGGTCCGTAGACGTCGGCAGACATTTAAGAGAAAGTTTCGGAGGAGCCGGGGAATTGGATTTTCGGGTTGGGAAGCGTGTGCTCTCGCAGACACAATAGGATCGGTTGGTTCAATTAAGAAGAAGGATACCGGTTGATCGCGGGGCTACGTAGGAGAGTCTGCACGAACCTGCAGAGAAAAGAAGAGAAGAGAAGCGAGGAGAAGAGACGGTTCCCCTCCGACGCCACCTCCTCGTTCTCGGGGCCGAGAGTCGTGTCCCGAGCCCCGGCGTAGACACAACCGGTTTCCGCGGTGTTCACCCGCTTTTTGAGAAAAAATTGAACCAGTTTGTAAAACGAAAAAAGCTCTCCCCACCCCGGGGGTCTCGTTCCAGCGTCCCACCACGCTCCTTCTCTATCCCTTTACCTCGGATTGCCGCGGAGGCTCATGGGAACCGAAGCGATTCCAAGCGTCCCGGAATCCGATGCGCATCAAATGAAAAAGCCTCCAGCGTTGCCAAGATTTTGACCCGATCCTCCCTCTATCTCGTTCCTCGACGCTCCTGCCTCGAGCATCGGACAAATATTTTCGGACAAACACCTTCCGTTCTAGTAATCTTTCCCAACTCGTTACATTAAGTTAAGTAATCAACTCGTAATGCGGAGTACAAGCGGCTTTGACCGTAGAGAATCCACCGTCAATGTTTGAGTTTACTTTTGAACCTTTCTCCTTTCACCTTCTCTCCTGGATTTTTCTCTTGTTTCCTCGACACGAGGGACGAAGGTGTCGCTCTCCTGGTTGGGTACCAAAATTTAGACGAGTAACGTGGAACGGAAGCACGCGAGATTTACGCGCTCGGTCGTAAAACACCCGCCGATCCTGAACACGTTCTACGGAAGAGAGAGCGTAGTTGCGAACGTAGGCCGTACGCCTCGAGGCTTCCTGGCAGGGACTATTGATTTTCGAATTGGTTCAAAATTTCCATAATACCACGACGGCTGAGAGGGTACGCCGAAGCGGAGAGGAGCGAGCGGGGAGACGGCGCGGCGAATAGGAAAGGAGGAACAGAGACAGAGGGTGAAACAGACGGGGGAGGAGAGACAACAGAAGGAAAGAGGAGACTTGTACACCGATGTCGAGGGAGCAGGAGAGAAAGAGCAGATAGGCCGAAAGTAGGGGAGACGGGGCGGAAGAAGGAGGGTGGAAAGCCGAATGCACGTCAGAGGGTGAGTCGCCACGGCCTCGGACGGTTTCGAACTTGGCAAAGTTCAGCGGTTCAAAAGAGACACCCCGCGCGCCCACTCCACCATTTCGAGAGCACCCCACCATCATGATTCACCCTTCCTTCCACCCCTGGCTGCCAGGTCTCTCGTTTCTCCTAGGCTTCTCTCGCCCGTCGGCCAACTTCACCCTGCCCCAAACCCCTCGGCCGTGGGCGCCCACGATATTCCCCTTCAAACAGGCCGAGCATCTCGCGCGCGCGTCTACACATCTACGAGCGTCGACCGGTGTGCCTACGTCGTCGTCGTGTGTATGCACCAATGCGTGTATCCCTCCCCCCTTCTTCCGCACCCTCTCTCGCTGCTCTCTCTCTGTCATTCGCCGAGCACCTCCGCACGGCGCGCCGCTTCTCTTCAACGTGTTCGTGCAACAACGACGGCGACGACGACGTGAACGACCGCTCGTTGCGTTACACGGTGCTAACGATACCACCGAGGCAAGGGTATTACCCTCCTTGTCCCGTTCGGCATCGCTTTCCAGAAGAAACGATGTTTAATGCGTTATCCGACACACATCATTCTCGCCAGTCCTCTTTCCCCTTTCCCTCTCGAGCTTTTTGCGCCTCTTCGCTGCTCGCTCTCTGTGTTTGAACCTGAACTTTGCTTCCGATCCGCGCGCCTTCACGGCTCGTCCTATGTTCTATCGACGTCCCGTTTCGCGAATAGTTCGCTAACTATTTTAAACGGAATAAGAGGAATGTTGTCCCCTCGAACGAAATCGAATGATGTCCACGTATAACGAGATCAATGGCTATTCGATTATCTGAATAATATTTAAAATTAGTCACAGAAGACTCAGTTTTCGCTTCCTGTTTTCGTGTTTTGTACACGACTCGGTTCGACCAAGTACCGGCAATCGAATTGTAGCTCTCCGGTAAAAAAATATTTCATCGAGATTGATCGACGTTTCTGAAAATTTCTCTCGGTTCTTTGCACGGATTCGCCGGATCAAAAGCGTTTCGGCAAAATTCTTGGCGGCCGCGATCGAACGAAGAAAAGAAGGGAGCGTCGTTGCCGCGGACAGAATGACGTACGGCCAGTCGTCGCATTCCTCTCTTTTTACGAATTCCTCTCTTCTACTGGCGTTCTTGATCAGACGAGGGAAAAAAAGAGAGAAATTTGAAAAAAGACATCGAACCCCGGATAGAAAAAGAATCGGAAACCAAAGGAAAAGCGTATATCCAGTTTGCACCATTCTCTGATCTCTCGACGTTCGATAACTGTGGCGCGAATAAATCTCCGCTAGAACAATTCCACTCTCTTTACTTTTCTTATTGAACAAGCCTGTCTTCAATGTTGCAAATAAGAAATGTCTTAAGTGGTGCAAAAAGGTAGTTAAACCTGTTTCTACTGTTTAAGTATCCTACTTACGTACGTAATATGTACTTTAATGGTGTCACCGGCATAGATAAAATAGAATAATCGATCTAGTTTTTCTCTACTCTCATTCGATCTTGTGTCATTTGATCAAAAAACTATATGCATTACAACCGAAGAGCAAGTTCATCGGGAGCAGCCATTTTTTTATTATCACAGTGACTCATAAAACGCGCATCAATTTAATACAATGATCAAATATTAAATATAGTTCGTATATTAATCAGCGGAAAGACAGACGAATAAGAAACCGGTCCATATGCGTGGATCAACCGCGTGACTCATTGAACACATCGAATAAATTTTGAAACATAGATCACGGGAGTGAGATTGGTCATTCGGTCGTTGCGTGAAGAACGTTTCAAGGGAGCACGTGAAATCGTGAATGGTGGAAAACGAGGTTCGAAACATCAAAGGTTTTAAGAGATTAGCGAGCAATGCGCCGTGGATTGGCGATCGCGAGCCACTCGTCTGACTGCTACGGTCGAGATCCACTTGAAAAGCACGCGGTAACTCAGTCAGCCAAAAGAGGCATGAATCCTCGAACGGTGCCGTGACATGACCTGTCCTAACCGGACGGATCTCGTACCCGTGCACGGCTACCGTCGTGCTCTCTTCTGCACGATCGCACGCTCTTCACGGCCACCCTCCTCCCTCCCGCTGGCCCCGGCCGCTTACCTCCCGCCCGAGCGGTTCTTTCTTACGCGCGTTTCGTGAACCGGACCAGCTTTACACCTAGAACGGTACCCCGAACCCGTCGTCTTCCTTTTCTTCCTTTATCCCTACTATCGGGGCAAGTGAAATTGAGCACCGCACGCTCCGCGTTATGTATGTTAGACCGCGAGTGACCCCGATGCGACGGCATGCAGCTCTAAAGACTCCTCTCCGTGGGAGAGACGTCGGCTTATCCGTTATTTCATAGAAAATTCCAAACTCTGACTTCGAACTTTATTTAATTGAATAACTTTTAACATTTTCCCCCTTAATTGTATCCTTCAATTTCGAGACGCATTACAGAACGCAAAAAGTAGTTCAGACATAAATGACCCTAATCCCTAGTTCTAACTTTAGGATTCATGCTGGTGTCTTTTATCGATTG